ATGGAGACATCACCATTACCCCCTACACTATTTTAACTCGTACATTACCTCTAACCCTTATCATCTACTCTACCCTAACACTTACACTATCACTGTTTACCCCTACAGTACCCGCACAATAACCCAAGTCTAACCTTAAATTAACCCTAACCCTAACTTCAACCCTAACCCTAGCCTAAACTGATAGTAACGTATTCACAGATTCACTGTTATGTATCTCTCGCTCTCTCTGTTTTTATCATTTATTTATTACAAGCTAACATAAATAATTGTGCATTTTATTCTACATTAACAGTAGTAAAAGGTTATATTCAGTATCTCTATAAGATATTACCCAAGATAAACAGCTCTCTTGTATTTTGCATCACAACACCCAAGGATGGTTAGAATTTCCCTTTCACCAAAGGTCAGATGAAGGGGGGGTGAGGGAGGAATAATGATTCAATATGCTTTAAAAAAAAAAAAAGTTTTTAATGGATCTTAAACCCCCCAACAGAGCACCCCATACCCACCCCAACAGAGCACCCGTAGCCCCCCAACAGAGCACCCCTACTAACCCCCCAACAGAGCACTCCTACCCCACCCAACAGAGCACCCCTACCCCCCACACACAGCACCCCTACCCCCTCACACAGCACCCCTACCCCCTCCACACAGCACCCCCACCCCACACATTGCAGCAACTCCTCTATCCCCCCACACACAGCACCCCACACCCCTACCCCCACACACACAACACCCCTACAACACCCCTAGCCCCACACACAACACCCCCACCCCCACACAGCACCCTACCCCCACACACAGAGCACCCATACCCCTACACACAGCACCCCACCCCCACACACACAGCACCCCCATCACCCCACACACACAGCACCCCCACCCCCACACACAGCACCAACCCTATCCCCACACACAAAGCACCCCTATCCCCCACACACAGCACCCCTATCCCCCACACACAACACCCCAAGACCCCACCCACCACACACACAAAGCATCCCTCCTACCCCTCCACACACAGCAACTCCCCACCCCCACACAGCATCCCTATCCCCCGCACACACAGCACCCTATCCCCCTCACACACAGCACCCCCAATCCCCACACACATCACCCTCACACACCCACACACAGCACCCTGCACCCCACCGCCCCACACACAGCACCCCTACCGCCCCCACACAGCATCCCGCCCCCACAGAGTAACCTACTCCCCCACACAGCACCCCTACCCCCACACACAGCACCTTTACTCCCCCACACACAGCACCTATACCCCCCAAACACAGCACCGCTACCCCCACACACAGCACCACTACCCCCACACACAGCACCCCTCTCACACACAGCACCCCTCACACACACAACCTTACACACAAACACATACACTGCACCCCTCAATGCAGTACATGTGTGTGTATTCAACAGTCTTTATGTATTGAGCAGTGTGTGTGTGTGTATTCAGCCGACTGCGTGTGTATTCAGCCGACTGCATGTGTATGTATTCAGCAGTGTGTGTGTATTCAGCGGACTGTGTGTGTGTGTATTCAGCAGACTGTGTGTATGTTTGTGTTTGTGTGTATTTAGCGGACTGTGTGTGTATTTAGCAGTCTGTGTGTGTATGTATTAAGCAGTCGGTGTGTGAATGTGTTCAGCTGTGTGGATGCATTGCATTTGTTGGAGATACTAATAAGTATAAGCTTAATTTTATCTATTAATATCATTATTTAAAATTTGTATAATTGAACTTTCTGTTGTGTCTTTTAAAACAAAAGATTTTAACTAGTTCGGACGACTGTACGAGTTGTTTTTTTCTATACTTAAACCTCAGTATTCAGGTTTTATTGCCGTGTTGGCACTTTGAAGAAAACAAAGTTGGCATGTATTGCGGTTTGGGCACTCTGGCTCAAAAAGGTTTGCCATCACTGGTTTAGAGCATTGCTTTTATAAGAAAATATTTGGAAAACTTTTTATTTTCATGTTCTCCATGTATGTGTGTTCACAGTGGGCATTGAAAATGGAATTAAATTGCATGAGAACCATTTTTAGTGTGGTTATGTTTTGTTTTTACAGATGTTGGAAAAGAGCGCATAGTGGTTCAATGTATACAGAGTTTTTATTTTAAGAACTAATTTTCCCTCCAGTGAACAATGTTTGAAAGAATGATTTGAGTAATATCGAAATCACATTCATACTATTTTTATATATTTACATATTTTTACTATATTTATTTTTTGAAATGTGACGAGTTTTGAAAAATGTCCTAAATCCTTTAAATTTCAATACAAATCAGAAGGAATTTCTCTGTAAAACCCAAAGTACTGTGGATTTTATTTACTAAACACTAAATTGTAGTGAATTAAAATCCAAACTGCAAAACACAAAATAGCTGATTTGGAAACTTTATCCAATTCATCTAAATTCTCCAAAAATGCGGCTTATTCACTAAACTCACAATTGTAGTGAATTGTGAACCAACTTGTAGCGTTTAGGCTTAAATGGTCAAACTGTGACTGCATTCTGCATTCAAACCAGAACTCTATGCTGATGTTTTGTTGTCATTCATGTGCTTTAACCCCTTAAGGACTGGACTGTTTTTGCGATGTTGTACATTTGCGACCAGGAATATTTTTACACTTTTGTGGTGTTTGTGTTTGGCTGTAATTTTCCGCTTTCTCATTTACTGTTCCCATACAAATTATATATTGTTTTTTTCAGGACAAAATGGGCTTTCTTTACATACCATTATTTATATAATCTCATGTATTTTAATTTAAAAAAAATACAAAAATCTGATGAAAAATTGAAAAAAATACATGTTTTTTGACTTTTACTTGAAAAATCTTTTACTCATCTACAAAAGCGAATGAAAAAAACTGCTAAATAGATTCAAAATTTTGTCCTGAGTTTAAAAATACCCAGTGTTTACGTGCTTTTTTGCATGTTATAGGGCTATAGGTACAAGTAGGATATTGCGGTTTCAAAACATACATTTTTAAAATTTATCAATAGTGACATTGTAACACTATTATCTGTCATAAATCTCTGAATAACACCCACATGTACATATTTTTTTTTTAAAGTAGACAACCCAGGGTATTCAATATGGGGTATGTCCAGTCTTTTTTAGTAGCCACTTAGTCGAAAACACTGGCCAAAGTAAGCATTCATATTTGTTTGTGTGTGAAAAAAGTAAAAAAACTAAATTGAACGCTAATTTTGGCCAGTGTTTGTGACCAAGTGGTTACTAAAAAAGACTGGACATACCCCATTTGCAATACCTTGGGTTGTCTTCTTTTGCAAATGGTATGCCATCATGGGGGTAATTCTCATTCCTGGGCTACCATACGCTCTCAAAGGCAACGTAACCAACCTGGCCATTTTCAATGTAAAAATATTTGACCCATATATTTGACCTTGTAACTTTCAAAAATGCTATAAAACCTGTACATGGGGGGTACTGTTTTACTCGGGAGACATCGCTGAACACAAATATTAGTGTTTAAAAACTGGAAAACGTATCACAACAATTATATCATCAGTAAAAGTGCTGTTTGTGTGTGAAAAATGCAAAAAAAGTAACTTTCACTGACAATATCATCGCTGTGATATGTTTTACTGTTGTGAATCACTAATATTTGTGTTCAGCGAAGTCTCCCGAGTAAAACAGTACCCCCCATGTACAGGTTTTAGGGTGTCGTAGAACGTTACAGGGTAAAATACAGTGCTAGCAAATTAAATTCTCTGGAATTTCGGCCTGGGTTGGCAGGCAGGTCCCTCAAATTGCAATCAATAAAATTACTGAATTATGTAAAAATATTACATAAATACGCACGTAGAATTTAAATATATATGCATATTTATATATTTGAAGTCTACGTGTATATTTATATAATTATTTATGTAATTTTGTATATGGACGTATGTATATTTCTTATTATTTTTATTTATTTTTATATACATAGATATATATACAAATTCATTCTAAGTGTATTTTGATATAAATATATATATATATTAATTTTAAAATACGGTTAGAATAAAATTTCATATAGCTATATAATTTTTTTTAAATTTTGTATTATTATTTAAAAAATTTTTTATTTAATTTAAATTACTTATTATTTATATTTTATAATAATATATATATACAATATATATAGTTATTATATATATTATATATATACGTGTGTAATTTAATTATAAGTGTATTTTATATTAATATAAGTACATATTAATATAAAAATACACTTAGTATGACATTATATATATATGATATATAGACATATATTATATAAATATAATATATGTCTATATATCATATTTATACATATATAATTATTATTATTTTTTTTATTACCATTAACTTTAATTTTTTTTTCTGATTTTACAGTTGCAGGGAGACTGCCTGTCAGCACAGGCAGTCCCCCTGCAGGCAGACACATGGACACCTATTGTGACCATGTGATCGCTGTGTTGAGCGATCACATGGCCACAGGGGTCCTAATCTGCCGTGGGGAGACTGTCTGGGCTGCAGGCAGTCTCCCCACAACCGGAGGAACACTGATCGCCGCCGGGGGAACGACGGCGATCAGGTAAGTACCCCCAGACCGTTTGGACGGTTCAGGACCGTCATCGGTCGGCAAGGCAAAAATGCCGATGACGGTCCTGAACCGTCCTCGGTCCTTAAGGGGTTAATTCATGCAATTGCAGTATTTTTTTTTACAACCAACTCAGAGCAGATTTAAATCTCACTATGAAAGTAAGTTACATAGTAATTAAGGTTTAAAAATACATTTGCTGATTAATTTCCCAGGTGCTCTATCTGTTGCTTTGGATCCAGAAGACTAATTAATTCAATAAAAATATCGATACGTAAAGATTTGTAAAGCTCTTTCCATTTTTTTCTGAAGATTAGGGAATAGTGATGTCCCGAACTGTACGCTGAACGGTTTGCCACGGTTCGCCATGAACGGTTCGCCGCGGACTCCAGTCAGCAAACACATTCCAGCCAATCAGCAGCAGACCCTCCCTCCCAGACCCTCCCACCTCCTGGACAGCATCCATTTTGAAGCTGCATTCTTAGTGAGCTGTCCAGGAGGTGGGAGGGACTGGGAGTGAGGGTCTGCTTCTGATTGGCTGGAATGTGTCTGCTGACTGGAGTCCGCGGCAAACCGTTCGTGGCGATCCGCGGTGAACCGTTAGGAGAACAGTTAGGGACATCACTATTAGGGAAAGTCCTCCTTGAACCAAGGACAGCAGTGATATCCATCTTTGGATAGATATGCTTCTTCTTAAATTAATTTAACCATATGTATGGAATCCAACTATAGAACAAATAAAGCTCTTTTATTCAGAAATCTTCTGAATAACCATTCAAACATTCTTTCTTTTTGAATAAACATATTAATGTCATTTACCGTAAATAATGATTTCCTTGTCAAAAATGATTTATATCACAAAGGTTTTTGAAAAAACACAAACGTGAAAAACAAAATGTTACATTGTTGCTGACTACTGCTACAAACATCAGTTGTGGTTTGCACTTATTTTTTTGTAAATACAAATTTTAGATAAGAAGTATGAAGAATTTCAATAGAACATAAGAAGGAAACTGCATGTCAGGATAAAATGCAGGCTACAATTACAGACTTTATGCATTCATTTTATTTTGCCTGGATCTCTCACCATGGTATCTGTAGCCCTCAGAAAATATCAAAACAAAAGAAGCAAACAAGACCTTCGGTATGTCTGACATCTGTACAGCCACACTAAAGAGACACTGTAGGCACCCAGCCCACTTCAGCTAATTGAAGTAGTCTGGGTGCAATGTCCCATGTCCCTTAAAGGACCACTATAGTGCCAGGAAAACATACTCGTTTTCCTGGCACTATAGTGCCCTGAGGGTGCCCCCACCCTCAGGGTCCCCCTCCCGCCCAGGTCTGGAAAGGGGAAAGGGGTTAAAACGTACCTTTTTCCAGCGCTGGACGGGGAGCTCTCCTCCTCCGATCCTCCTCTTCTCCTCCTCCTGGGCTGAATGTGCACGCGCGGCAAGAGCTGCGCGCGCATTCAGCCCGTCGCATAGGAAAGCATTCTCAATGCTTTCCTATGGACGCTTGCGTGCTCTCACTGTGAAAATCACAGTGAGAAGCACGCAAGCGCCTCTAGTGGCTGTCAATGAGACAGCCACTAGAGGATTAGGGGAAGGCTTAACCCATTCATAAACATAGCAGTTTCTCTGAAACTGCTATGTTTATAAAAAAAATGGGTTAACCCTAGAAGGACCTGGCACCCAGACCACTTCATTAAGCTGAAGTGGTCTGGGTGCCAAGAGTGGTCCTTTAACCCTACCATGGTAATTAAACTGCAATAATTACCTCTCGGGGTAACTCCACTTCTAGTAGTGGCTGTCTAGAGGGACTTTCTGAATTGAAACGGACCTTTAGTCCAGTATCTGACGCTGGACGTCCTCACGCTCTGCATGAGGAGTTTTAGTGTCAGATTTTTCCCCACAGGAAAGCATTGAACAATGCTTTCCAATGTGGAAATCCTAATGTGAGTGTAGCCATTGCCGCGCATGCGCATTAGGAGAATGGGCGGAGCCTGACCCAGTGCCAAGAGACATCGGCGCTGGATTCAGGTAAGTCAGTGGTGTACCCTAAATTCTGCACTTTTTGCAAAATGGAAAAGAGAGCACACTCTTTAAACATAAAGCATTTCAGCAAGCTAAAGTTGTTTAGGAGTCTGGAGTGACCCTTTAACTATTACGCATGTTTTGTTACTTCAGGCTAAGATTAAAGGACCACTATAGGCACCCAGACCACTTCAGCTCAATGAAGTGGTCTGGGTGCCAGGTCCATCTAGTGTTAACCCTGCAGCTGTAAACATGTTTACACTAGGGTTAATCCAGCCTCTAGTGGCTGTCTCACTGACAGCCGCTAGAGGCGCTTCCGCACTTCACACTGTGAAAATCACAGTGAGAAGAGGCCGACGTCCTTAGGAAAGCATTGAGAAATGCTTTCCGATGGACTGTTTGAATGTGTACATGACTCTTGCCGCGCATGCGCATTCAAAGCTGACGTCGGGAGAGGGAGGAGAATTCCCCAGCACTGAGAGAGCTCGGCGCTGGAGACTGTTAAGTGTTTAACCCCGTCAGCCCCCTTCAGCACAGCTTTAGGGGCTTTAGGGTGGGGGGGGGACCTAAAGTCCCTATAGTGCCAGGAAAACAAGTTTGTTTTCCTGGCACTATAATGTTCCTTTAAGGATACGTTTTCAGCTAGGGTTAGAGTTAAATTTACTCTATTACTTCTATGTTTATATATTTTCAGCTGCCTTTATTAATTCATTTCCTTTACCAATAATTGCAAAAAGGAGGTGAAATAAAATGGAAGCAGCTTCAAATAGCAAGTGCTAAAAAGAACTGTTCCTCCCACTAATCTGTTTGTCAGTCTCTCTATATATAGCATAAAACTTTTTTTTTAAATTAGCGAGACTACGTTTCCAAGCTTCTTTGTAATTCTATGAATCTTCTCTGTGTACGAGTTTAATGCATCTCCCCCTTTGGGCTTCAAAGTTCTGCTTATGAAATGAGGACTATAAATGCATTATAAATATTAGGTGCCTATTGTAGCGACAGTAATTTAGCTATTATTTTGGTTTACAAGTGGAAAGCTTAGCTACATTTTTCCGCAATTTTCAAGTCACATTGACTTGATGTTCCAAATAATAACTTGTAAAGTCTATGTGACAGGATTAAATGTGACTGCAACTATTTATGCAGAAATGCTTGATAACACGTTGGAAGGACATAAAAAATAAAATGTAATGCTTTATAATAGTTGATGTTTAATATTTTGAATTGATGTTTAAAATCTCATTAATATGATGTAGTTTGGGGACAACATATAATTTAATAAAGTGAAAGTTTTGACAGACAGAAGCAGATGTGAACTTCACCTAACATATGTAGTAATAAATATGCCTCCAGAATTGAATGCCCTGTGCAAGTGGACACACTGTAGCTGTAGCAGCATCTTGCTATTTTTGTTACTATGTTTATATTTTAAACCCAGCCCTGCTTATCTTACCTTTTAACTCTCTTCCTGCTTACAGACATTTCTTAGTATTCTGTATCTGTTTTCAAACATAACATCATTAATTAACCTCAATCATGGACTAGATAGATAGATAGATAGATTATCTATATGAGATGATCAACCACTTTCATCACTGGGCAGATTATGCTTTAAAATTTCCTAATGCACACTTGGTGATATGTAATCACTAACTTACTAGAAATTGAAGGTGGCTGTTCAAGGAAACAGAGCTCCACAAGTTGATATATACATCACTTCCAAGACGGCACACATTCTTTGGGGCTTGGTTGCTGATGTCATCCATGCATTATTGCCAGTAATGCTTAGTTAGCCACCATGCAGTACAGAGGGCCATAATCTCAGGCAGCACCAGGGACCATCAGTGGTAGGGACTCTTCTGGACATCAGCTGCCATATGCTATATGCACATATGCTAGCTTAAGACTTCTTCTGAGTGGAGTTAATGACAGCAGCTGCGAGTGGATCTCTTGGTGTATCACTTGCACTTATATTACTCCTTCCTGGAGTCTTTGGTTTTCTCTTGATTTCATCATAGGGCATTTTTATTATTATCTGCTCAGTTTTCTTGGTTGACTTATTTAGGTGCAAATATTTTACATGCAGCATTTGGTTTAACTGTTTTGCTTATATTTTAAGCTTTTGGTAGATTCTAATGAAAGCCCTCTTTTGAATGAAGCATCAATCATAACATTTCTCCTTCCAATGTAATCCCACTGGGACAGGACTAAACAAATATACTTTATGAAGTCCTGCAAGGTTTCCCTTTTAAGATATATATATATTGTAATTTTACTGTGAGTATTCAATAACAATTATGATATTTACCAGATAATCAGATTTTTGATATCAAAGAAATATATTCATGCTAATGTTTACAAACAAGGTATTACCTTCAGTACTAAGATATTTCTTGTTACTACAGAGAAGCTAATGTACACACATTACTGCTCCAGGAAAATGAAGTTCTTACTATTGCCATTAAATGATTTGATATGTATGTTTTTAGAAAACTTGTATAGAGCAAGTTATCTTACGTTAAAACACATAAAAGACACAGCATGTGGGCCAGACAGCTGCAGAGGGTATCAAATAATTTCATTTGTGATTGTTGTTTCTGATTGTCTTGCTGTGTGGCTTTCAAAGGCTGTTATGTCACCATGGCCTGTAACAGAGTTATATATAGATGATTGCTCTAAGGATTTTGATGCTGTGAACAAAATATGATCTGCTAGCCAAAGCTTTACATGAGGGATGAACTCTGCATAGTATCATGCCCCCACGTGCTTTTAAAGCCTAGTTTAATAAAATGAAATTCAAAGTGGAAGTATGGAATAAGCAGAAAAGTTTTGATTAAAGGGACATGCAAAACATCATAACCATTTCTAATTGTAATGGTTATGGTTTACGGGCTGTGATGGGGAATAGATAGTGCTCTGTTAAGTTGCCCACTCAAGAATAGGGCTCTCAAGTGTGGTCCAGGTGGAGAGAAACTAATATATTTTCCAACTAGACTGTATTGAAAATATATCTCATTATGAGCCCAACTGGAGTGCATTGCTGACTGTCTGTGCACACTATATCCTTGTTGGGAGGAAGTGGTGTCACTATCTCCCATAAGAAGGAAACTGTGCAAGAGTACAAACTGAGCAGCCGAGAGAAGACACCACTCTGCAACTAAAATGCTCTTTACCATGGACGTTCGCCACAAATTCCTGAAAGAGTGGGAAATCTGGCCTTCTGCCCAGCGACTATGGTCCAGGTCGGAGACCCCATTCGAGAGTTAACCTCCCCAACCTCCATTAGCAGCTTTCTCTGGGTGCCCTTGGTTCGGCACTTTCCCTTCCTTCGTATGGAACCGAACACTAGCTCCCTGGCTGCCATTCGCATGAAGAAACCCACGAATTGTCCTCAGCGGTACTTAGCCACGATCGTTATGGAACTAAATTCAGCATGAAGACTTAGTGGGTCCCGTTCACTTCAGATGTACTTAGCTGCAAATCTTATGGAACTGTTTTCGGCATTAAGTGACTGTGCAGTTC